TATTGTATTTTAAACTGAAATTGTTACTATTTCAACCTACGTGTTCTTATGATGTGGATTTTTTAGTGATGATGATGTTTTTAATCTATGTATTGTGATGATGTTTGTATGTTGTAGAATTGTAAAATGACAATGCAATTCAGACGTGCCCGAAGCACTTAGGCACGTCTGCAATGTTGATATTTAATAAAGATTTGAAAGATTATGAGGTTTGACTTCTTCTTTGGAAAATGAATTTTCCCATGATCTGCTGAATGGTAAAAGGCCGGGGAAATTGTGGCAATTGTTATAAATAACCTACTTCTGTTGGTCTCATAGTGAATACATTATACTATATATTAAAGTGTCTGCCGTGCAAGTGATTGACTTATAAAATGTGCTTTAAAAAACATTTTCCATTGAATACATTGGCCAATCTCTTGTGTAAAGGGGTCCCTTTCTATCTCTAGTGAGTGTGCACCTATTAGTACCTCATACCTAATCTCCAAGCAGATCTTCCATAAAATACAGTATTACATTTGGCCAGGCAGTATCCATTAGCCAGGCAGTATCTACAGGCCACACTTCGGTGGCTAATGGACACTCTTCTGGCCAATGGATTCTGCCTTGCCACCGGTATGATCTCCTTGGGAATTACCTCATACCCAGCTGTAATATTCCCTACAAAGTTGTTCCAGTTTTCAGGACAGTTATTTTTGATCACCTGTGGGTATGCTGCCACACGCACCCAATCTGGTACACAGTACGATACATTCCATGAATTATTGTCATGTCCAACTACCATATCTGCTTACGTAGGCCAATTTCTGTATACGTTATTTCAAAAGCGAGACCATATCATCAATACATGAACATATTGTAACTCATATACCGTATAGATAGTAGTTTGTAGTAAGAAATGTAATAAGATAGTTTAGTTTTGTAGTATTGTTGTATTACTGCCACACATTGTACCATGTACGATTGTTGAGCAATAAAGTTCATTCATTCATTTCCGGTGCAGGCCGGCGCGGCGAAATTCACCAATTTCCCATTCCCATGACGCATTGCGCCTGGGGGATCTTCCAGGAATGCATAGCGCAAGAATTTTCCGAATTATCCTGTTGACCTTAAACAGCTTTTTTTCTGTTGTTTTCTGACAACAAATAGAGAATCAAATTTTTGTGTTCTTTTTAACATGGGACACGTGGTTCGTAAACGTTACAGTGGTAACGCTATGCTGTCTGACAAAAAAAGGAGATACAACTATTGATGTTAATGTCATGTTGAAGATTTTCAGTTCTTTCTCAGCGGGATTGCCATCTGCAGTATACAGTCATCGGCAAATAGCCTTACCTTCGCATCTGCAACACGGCCTGGGAGATCGTTTATGTATGCTAGGAACAGGATAGATCTCGATGGGCCCCAGAATCGTACCCTGGGGGACACCAGGAATCATAGCTACTGAGTCTAACCAGATTATTTACAATGACGTACACCAATCATTACGAGAGAGGCATATAAAGAGCAGCATGTAAAAAAGATATATGTTTTCGAATATTAGTTTTTGAAGATTCGTACGATAGTGTCCGTCTAGAATTAAAGTACAACGACAACCGCAGCTGAACTGTAGAACTGCAGAACTTTAGCAGAAAGATTCTAAAATTAAACCAACCAACCGACCGACCGACCGACCGACAGACAGACAGACAGACAGACCGACAGACAGACAGACAGACAGACAGACAAACAAAAAATCAATCCTACATCTACCTTGTTCTGCCGAAGTACAGAGACTCCTTCCTGTTAGTAGTTGGAGAGGTATCCAAGGTCGTGAAGCCGTATGACGTCGTCTTCCTGCCCAGATGCTGCAAGGTCATGGCTGCCCTGGAGATGGGGTCAGAGTTCACGCCGTCAGGGTCATCTGTTTTGGCGGGGGACGCTTCGGCGCAGTCCGGACGAACCCAGACCCCGAACCGCCGAGCCCGGGGCCTCACGGGTGAGCGCGGCGGCGTGGAGTAGCTCCCGCACCCGTCCGACTCCCGACTGTTCTGCCTGGACACCGACAGGAGCAGACTTTCCGAGCTGGAAGTCCAGAACACGCTTGTCTTCCTCTCTAAGTCCGCGGCGCTCTGAATACTGGCGCTCGGCACCACGCGTGAGTCGTGCGGGGGGCTTTCATCGCTAGGCAGCCGGCACGGCAACTCCGTGGTCGGGATCTCGAACTCGGGAATAGTGTCCGGGGTAAGGACGTTGGTGCACGGGCGGCGCCGGGCGTCGTCTGTCCCGCTGGCCGCGACGACACCGTCCCGGGCGGACCGCACGTGGAGGTTCCGCACACTGTTGACCAGCCACATCCCGGAGATGCAAACACCTTCAGTTGTACCAAAAATATTCTTGTCTACTAACTGAAAGTGTTCTCGTAGGTAGCTACTCGAGCTCTAGATCTTAAATCCTAGCCGGTTGTTGTGTAACCAACGTGAGCGCTACTGAAGCATCTTAACAAAAAACGTCTAGACGCGATGCTCGCTTCACCTAACTCGATTTCCTGATCACGGAAAGTGATTTTACCACATGGCGTCATCCCTTCTCGTCACGACTGGTGGAAGATTACAATTTCAGTAAAGCTATTTCTGTCGGAGATGTGATCCCTTTATACCCTTCCGGCATCACACATGATATTACCTGTGATCACTGTTCCGTGGGCAGGCCGCTGTGTGATCCTTGTGCGCAACATTCACACGTCTGCACGTCCCCGTGAGACAAGCGTGTGTGCATCTCCGTGTTTCGCCCCGTGTCGGAGCGTATTTCTCCTAATACGACGCCCCCAGCATTCACCGCGTTCCACTTAAAAAGTAGCCTGGTATCCAGTCTTTGGGGATATTGGGGTGTTCAGGCAGGTTGTGTCTTCGGGGGCTCTAATAGCTTCCCCCGCCCAGTGCAACAGGCCGTCCCGGTAGGAGAGTTACGCTAATAAGAGACAGTTTGCTTGGGGATTTGGTTTCCCCCCCGACACGAACGTGGAGGGCTAATCAATCTCTCGTGAAATACACACCGGGAAACCTGTGTGAGGCGGGCGGTACAGAGCTCTTGCGGCCCCGACCACGATCAGACTGGATACCAGGCTAAAAAGCGGAAGGAAATACAAGCACGTCATGGAGGCGTGGGACAGGAGGATAGGAGTACATCAGTGTGACGTCAACGGGGGAACTGGAAGGCAGAGCAAGTAGATTTAGGCCAATTTTATGGGTGGCATTCTCATAAAGACCCCCAGACTAATGCAAGGTCAAGGTCAACCATTGGCTTCCTTGTGGATGACCTTGGTACTGCAGCAGAACTTCTTGCGTTTGCATCTTTTGTCCTGAATATGTTATGGTCTTGGATTTTTAATGACAGAAACATGGATGATTCTGCTACGTCTGTGGCGATTTTGATCTGGAAACCCCCGTCTCGATAATTTTTACACACACCATGGTGACTGTGTGCATACTCGGTACAAAGGAAAACAAATGCGAAACCAAGCGTTAGAAGATGCATTAACCACCAGTTCTAACAGTTCCAATTCATACAGGCTGGATGATGAAAGATCATCTGTTGAGAGAAATTGCAGGTTGCATGCCGACCCTAAGGCAGTCCTTTTGAAGCTTAACTCTGTTTTCTTCCAAAGCTTGGTGATAATGAAAGGGTTCATTTCCTGCCGAGCGCCCTTTGAGCGGAAGACAAAAATCAAATCAACTTTAGTGCTCAACAACTGTAACTGGTGCAACGTTTAGCAAAAAAGAGATAACAAGTGTAGATAAATGAACTATATTAGGTATATTTCTTACAAAGCTAATCCATAATGATACTAAAGCCAAACTATTGTCTGTAATTCAGGAGCCATGTATCAATCATAATGCATCATTTCCCATGTGTGCCTTAGGCCACGGCAAGTAAATTTTATGGATGACATCCTAGGCCTCCACAGACTTCAAATCTAACACGAGCGGGCCGAAAAAAAAGCAAGGTTCCTACATTTTAAAATTTTGACTCAATCATTGTACAAATGGTTTAGATCCAGTGGGAACATTACATATACACAGCCAGCATCACATTCAATGTACACAATATACACAAACAAGACATTCTTTTCTTGTCTCCTCTCTTTATAGTTATCTGCCCCCATTTTCCGACATGGCAACAGACATTTTTGCTCATTTTCGGCATGTTGACCACTGTCAGAGGGAAACAAAATTTCTTGTGAGCTCTAACCACGTACAATCTTTTATGTACTGCTGCTTTGGAAGGCCTTGAACGCATGCTAGTCATGGCAACCATACATGCAAGTCATAAAATCGAGTATATGTGCTCTTTTGAAGTATCAAGGTCCTTTTAACACCCTATCACATTCCAGGCATTTCATAAATTCCTGCGGGCAATTTGTGTACATAAATCAAACATGATGTACAAAAGTGCACCATTCTCTCCGCAACAGGTCCGTCTAATGACGGCCTGGCCCACTGCGCGATGCCTTACGTCGGCTTTGAAGTCGGGTAGGATGGCGCTTCGTGTGGCATTTTGCATGAAATTTGTCTCCTTTCTCGAATGATTTCAATGCCCAATTCCCTATGCTTAGTGCTAGAAATACTTTTTTGCAATGTTCTGCAATATTGAAGAATTTCGCTCTGCACTTTGGGAACACTTTCTGCAAATACACACGTAAAAGTCTGGATCTAAACCCATGAAATATACAAAAATTGCATGTTGGCAAACGTGATTTTACATGCAATTTGAAACATACATGTATATGCAAAATTGCTTGTATATTGTAATTAATTTGTAATGTTATGTAATGTATTATACTTGTAAACGAAAGCGCATTTCACTTAAAAAATGATTGCCTGTAATCTTATTAACGTTTCCCGAATATTGTAATGAGCAACACAATTCAGACTTAAGTCTGCGAGTTGTTTAATAAAGACTGAATTGAATTGAATTATAGAGGCAGTAGTGAACCAAAATCCTAATTTTTTACAGTCTGCAAAATTGCAGGTTTCTTAATTTTTCTTCTGCAATATTGAAAATGTCTCTGCAAAAAGCAGACTGCATTCTAACAAAGCTATTGATAGCTGGTTGATTCCGCATTGTTAAGGTCAGCATAACTTGAGGAAAAGGCCTTTTGGATTTTGGTGTTTTATGGTATGTGGGTAGGTCTTGGGAAGGCATAGGTCAAGGTCAAATTTGGGTCTCCTGGTGGCTGACCTGGTATACTCGGTATACACACGGCATTCGTCAAGTGCGTCAGGCATGCGTTAACTAGCAGTACGTCCGAAATATGCTCTGCATACGCATTGCATTCGTTACTATTCGCAGCAAAAATTAGGGTCAGAGTGTTGGGTTGTGGCGTTAGTACATCTGGTAACTTCTTATACTTGATATGTTGAAGGAAAAACATAACAAATGTCCCACGGCAGTAGAAATGGCAGAACATCAGAGGTAGTAACTGACGGCTAATACTAATGGAGGGGTGGTCTCAAAACTCTCAAAACGCTCGCTACACGGTGGAAGTAACGCACGGCTAGTGGAGGGGTGGTCTCAACACTTCACCTGCTACTTCTGACGTGGAAAGTCTACGAGGACCTGAAATGTCACAGAGAGAAAACCATTACAGACTACTTCCAAAAGGAAGAATTTGAATGGGTTTGGAGATGCTTTCTCACTGAAATGACTCAGACCTTCGTAGGACTCATAAAAGGGACCATTGTTTAAGCGGTATATTTTATTATTCACGAAGCAACCAAGTCTAAGATCCTGGAAATTATTCAACATTACATGTATGAGTATATTATCATAAAGTAAAGATTAAATTATCTTTTATAGGTGACACATGCAATTAATACGCATGCAGGGCTTACGACAACACATTCGTGACATTTGAAAGATGAAATTTCAAATCTTCAATGTTCATTTGACATTTTATATTAAGTCCTATTGCTGACGGGATGCATTTCCGTTGTATGTAGTATAAGGTTTTAAATTAAAAAAACTCATTTCCCCAGACATGTTGCGTTCTTATTCATTTGCTTATGCTTTGTACATTTTTTAAAACTTTTGTTAATCTATGTTCTATGTAAGCTGTTGTTTAAAAATCATGTACTATCTATCATCATTACTAATTTATTTATTACTATTATTATTATTTGTCAAAAATTTATGTTATCTTCCTCCCGCATTATCGTTTCTGTTGTGTATATGTTAATGCTTATTACTTTTGATTAGGCCACAGCAAGTAAATCTTATTGATGATATCCTCCGAAGACTCCATCGTAAACCTTGTTGAACAAGAAATGATACCTATATTGTGCTACGTTTACTGCCAACTACAAGTATTACAACATGAATTTCTCACTGAAATAACTTTGAAAGATAAACGTTTTCAATCAAAGTTTCCACCACAGTGGAAAGTTAGCTAAAGGTACTAAAATGTGTTAGTGTGATGAAGTCGAGACAGAAGTGAAAATGAGGTGTTCCTGCAGTGAGCCTTGAATTCAGAGACAGGGTCTGCACGCCTTGTTTCGTGTGGTGTAGCGAGCCGTTTTAATTCACCGTTATTCGTAGCCGGCCGCGGCCTGCTCTAATTCGACATTACTGGCGATGTCGATCGGTAAAACATGAATCGTGAAGCGTGTTTGGTCACTTTAAGTCTACTTAGCACGTTATTTGTTATCCTGAATTCATCGCCAAGAGTTGTTGACAATAATTTGTGTCCTGAAGTCAAACGCTAGATTGCCCAATGTACACTAACGTATGTCGTGTAGTAGTACGTAGCGCATGTTTGGTCAATTCTAAGTGTTAACGTTTCTAGGATCCCCCCATGTACAACCTCTCCAAATGGTATCTCGCTGCCGTCTAAAGTAAGATAAGTAAGACCCAAATGTAAGAGAGGAGGGCTTGTTTTGCTGTCTGTCCATATGTCATAGCTAAGTTCCTCATTATACAGCTAGTGTTAACGTTTCTAGGATCCCCCAATGCACGACCTCTCCAAATGGTATCTCGCTGCCGTCTAAAGTAAGATAAGTAAGACCAAAATGTAAGAGGAGGGTTTGTTTTGCTGTCTGTTCATATGTCATAGCTTAGTTCCTCATTATACAGCTACAGATATTCTCACGTTGTCGTTGGGGTTTGCGAGATGGCAGATAAAGCTTAGACTTGTCTCTTCGCCTTTCCAGTCAAAGCCCGTTTCCTCGTTGTGTGCAATTTAGCGTTTGTCTCATTGGGACCTGGGGCGGGTAGAAATGTTTGAGGCTTTGACAGCTTGTATATTTTCCTTTCCACTTAGACCAAGTTTATTTGATTATATGGATGACATCCGCGCGCGCATGAATTTTCGGCCAT